ATACATACATACACATACACACACATATATATATCATACATACATACATACATACACATATACATATTTATAAAACTATAATTTATCTATTGTATTAGTTATGTTTCTAATATAAAATAATTCATATCATAGTTACTTATATTACTTAGTTATAAATTAAATACTATTTTTGTCATCTCATCATGTGTAATTCTTTCCATGGTGACTCATGTATGCAGGATGATACTTAACGTCTACCAGGGTCCTTCAGATTCAAGCTAGTTTTCTGTTGCTACCTTGGTTTGGGTTTCCTGCACTACTCATGAGTATACATTTGACTCTGGCTCCTGTGCTCGGCTCAGTTTGTGAGAGATGTGCAATGTAGGGGGAAACCAGTCCACTTCCCCCTTCTCCCCCCAATTTTCAGGCTGATGGGAGGAGATATTCTAGATCTATTTTAACAGAGGCAAAGCTCTTCTAGGATCCTGGCTCTATATTCAACTCCAACTCCGCCGCACATGCACAATTTCCATTCTAGCTCAGAAATTAAAATTCCAAGTTACACATTTAATCCTATTCTACTTCTCCAGTTATCTAGGTATCCCCACCTCTCGTCAGCTCACTGCTTGTTACTATATCTTCATTTCTACCACATAAGTATTTCAAGTTCTTATTTAGTGCCTAGTTGTGCATTTGTTATGTTATATTTTATCGAGTACCTACCTGTATTAGCAATGATGGGTGCTTCCCATTTCAACTTAATCTAATGAAGAAAATTTTAAATTCCTAAAAGCAGTAAAACAATAACCTCTAAGTAAAAGTATTGAGATTGCTTACTTTGGTACTTATTACACATTTTCATTTTAATTGGCCAGCGATGTCCTGTGTATTGCCATTTGGAAATGAATCAACTGAGCATTGAGAAACCTAGATTCTTGTCCTGGCTTTGTTGCTTGCTAACTGTAAACTTGGGGAAATCACTAAAATTCCCTGAGCTTATTATTAACTATATATTTGGAACATTATTATTTGTGCTTCTTCATGGGATTATTGTACATCCAATAAGATAATGGATTTGAAAATACTTTGAAACTTAAACTGTTTTGTACAAAGATGCTATTATTAATAGTAATGTTAGGGTTGAAAACCTAACATTAGTGCATTCATGAAGATGTTTTAAAATATCTGTATTACAAGAAAGATCATTTTCTGTTTACTTCAGTTTAGTAAACTGAATAAAAGTCCTAATGTTGGTAAAAGCCAGATTCTATAAAAATTACAAATAAAGTAACTAACAAAAGATATTACAATATTTTTGTGAAATTTAAGAGCACTATTAGTAATGACAAACAGTTACAACTTTAATAGACTATGGAATTGATTTTGGGCAGACACCCTTAAAGTAGTTAAAACCTGGGAATTGAAGGCCTGCCTGATGGTCTAGGGGTCAAGTCTCAGCATTGTCACCACTGTAGCCTGAGTTCAATCCACAACCAGGGAGGTGACCCACATGGCACAGCAGACCTCTCTTGTCCCACCTGCTGCTCCCCTCAACAGTGTATTTCAGTAAATCCACCTGTTCTGGTCCCCACTCTGTCTTTGGTGAATCTTCTCACACTCCACCCTCTGACCTACACCCCAGTTCTTCTATGCAAAAAAAAAAAAATTAAAAAACTAGGAATTGAAATAAGTCAAAAAAGAAAAGATAAATATTGGATGGTTTCATTTCACAAGGGTCAAGAAAAAAACAAAAACTTGCAAGCTGCATACCTCTGAGGTATGATGGGGGTGTGTGGAGGAAAGGATAGGGGTCAAAACAGGGGAGGGGAGTGTGCAGAGACTATGGAGATGGATCACGGGTACTCACTCACCTGAATGAGTCCCATCCTTAACAATGATGTGAGACAATAAATTTAATTTATATAAGAGAACTGAATCTGAAAATCACCATTGCATTTTATTATGGGTTTTCTAAAGCAATGGATGCTGAAAGGTCTATATTATTTTGTGAGGAACCATAAACTTTCTTTAATACAGAAAAAAATGGCTTCATATTTTAAAACACTGAGAACCACCAACCAAGCCTTTTGGCCCCAAACCTCTCACTGAAACATATTCTCTAAGACAGAGGATTATATCAGTTCTCATTGATGTTTGTCAGTGAACTGTAGGAATGGTACAGAGAATTTGTTGTTTACTTGTGATTAAAGCACTAAGCTTGCAGATGATTTACTTAAAAGTAGAGATTGATGCAAAGGGTAGGAAGATCATACATATCTACTGTTTATTGCTCACTACATCTCATATAACTTATATATAAATGGATAGTAAAATATAGGAAAACTATCAAACAAATACTATCAAAATAAATACAAAACTATCAGAATAAATACATTTTTTTAAGATTTATTTATTTTAGGCATATGGTACTGAGGTATAGGCTAGAGGTGCAGGGGTTGTGAGAGGATTTACCAGAGACAGAGTGGGGAGCAGAACAGGCTGACTGATGAAGTACACTGCTGAGAGGAGCAGCGGGCGGGTCAGGAGAGGTCTGCCTCACCATGTGGGTCACCTCTGGGATGGAGATTGAACTCATGCTAAAGTGACTTTGACTTCTTAGTGCTGTGCTTTAACCTGCTGCCCCACCAAGGAGGGCCCATAAACATATTTTTAATAAAAATTACCAGAGAAACACAACTAGACGTAACAGTAGCCAGCATGTGTAGATATGACTGGTCTGATAGAACTACAAATTTAGAATTAGTGAATATTAGCAGTGGTTGGACCCCTGGGGCATTCAACAATTTGAAAAGTTGGGAAATCACATGTTCAAGCAAGTCAGTTAGTCATCCCCTTCCTGTTCACTTGTGCTAAGCCCTGCACCTGTGTTACTTATTGAATCAAATACTGGAGCTGGAAAACCAGGGCAGTATCTAAGTAGCTGTGGAACTCCACATGTAACAGAGAAACCATCAGACAAATCATCTCTCCCCTATCTGACTTCATATCCAAACTCTATGGCTAAGTTAGACTGTAATACATGGATGCATCTTATACTACTGCTAGGGATCTGAAAATATAATAAAAAAAGAAGAGTATGTAACTAAGAATCACCAAAAATATGAGGAAATGTCCAATACTAAGAAGTCATCACAGTCAAACAAATTATCAGAATTAAGATAGGAAATGAAAAACTTTAAGCATATTTAAGCTCTAAAATCCACAATAAAGGAAAAGACATGCATTAAAGAAGCAAGTATAGATCTGGAAATGAAAAAGAAATTAGTAAAACATTTTTAATTTCAACAGATGACTTGGCACAATGGACAGAAGTGAAATGCATTTTTTAATAGAATATTACTGATAAAACACCATGAGAAGTAAGAAAGAAAAGTTGAGAGACATAAAACATAGACTGAGTGGCGCAGCAGGTTAAAGCACTGCACTAAGAAGCTTAAGCCATTTCCGCATGAGTTCGATTCCCGCCTGTCCCAGAGGTGACCCACATGGCGCGGCAGACCTCTCCTGACCCGCCTGCCACTCCCCTCAGCAGTGTACTTCGTCGATCTGCCTGTTCTACTTCCCACTCTGGCCTGTACCCCAGTTCTATATGAATAAATAAATAAATCTTAAAAAAAAAATAGCTCCAGCTAGTGACTGTTCCAGTAAGAAAGGAGAGGGAGTGGATGGGATGGAAATGATAGAAAAGGTTACAGACATTTTATCCTGAGATTTATTGTCCCAGAGTGGAAAAAAAAGATAATCTTCAAAAAAAGTATCTTGATTATATTATGTCAGCTTGAGGTCTTAATCATATCTTTGCTGTACTGCAGATTCCTGCTGAGTTTGGCTTTCTTCCCTTTTTGATTTGTAACCTTTTAAATGCCCCTATCGTTAGTAGGAACTGTTCTTTCTGTGGTTTGTGGATATCTCCTCCAGTAAGCTTTGCATTTGCTCCTGTCCAGACCCTCAGTTCTATCCCCATCAGGATTCATTTTAATGCTAATTCTATGTCCTATTAGGTACCCTGCATATTAATTCATATTCCAAATTGGGATGTGGCACCAGCTTGAAATTTTAGACAGACTTTCCTGATATCTTCCTGAGTAAATGAATGGAATTTATCTAGTCTGCTTTGTATGATTTTTTTACACACTAAATAAAATTAAGCATATCAAACTAATCCAAAAATCAAAGATTGAGTGAGTACTAGAAATTAGTACTATGTATAGTAGAAAGAAATTTAAGAAATAGTTTGATATTCTGGGTATATGTCTTTAAACTGAAAGGACAAGAATGAGAATCTCAAATTGGGAGAAGTGTTTTGAGATTTCACATTTTTTTTAAAGATTTATTTATTTTTGCATACAGAACTGGGGTACATGCCAGAGGTGCAGGGGTGGTGAGAGGATTCACCAGAGACTGAGTGGGGAGCAGTAAGCAGGTAAGGAGAGGTCTGCCGCACCATGTGGGTCGCCTCCTAGGCGGGAATTGAACTCATGCGGAAGTGGCTTTAGCTTCTTATTGCTGTGCTTTAACCCACTGTGCCACCAAGGAGGGCCCAAGATTTCACATTTTTAATTGTTGTTAAGTATCAAAATTTTTGAAAAAGAAAATGCTGTTCTTACATTTTCATTATAGTACTTGATAATCATTTGATAATTGATCAATGTGAATCATCTATATTCAATATTTATATGAAGTTGCTATTATCCTAACTTTTCAGATGGGGAAACTGGCTTAGAGAGGTTAAGTAACTTACCCAAGGCCACATAACTTATATGTGGTGGAGCAAAACTTCCACCCCTGGTTTGTTTGATTCCAGCGCCACACTAAAGACCTAATTAATAGTCCTCTCTTCTAAAGGCTTGTATTTATTAATCACACTCAATTTTTGGTGAAAACCAAAGTTGCTTGGCTTATAAATATGTCTCATAGCCCATCACTCATTGGAGACCACTCTTAAAATTTTGGAGTATTTTATCTTTATTTTTTCCATTTATTGGATTGTATGTTCTGAGGTTCATGATAACAGAAAAAGCAAGTGTGAGAGTTTATATGATAACTCTGAATTTTTTCTACATTCTAGGGATCATGTTTATAAAAAAGTTAATTTACCCTGATTTATCCTGACTTTTTACTGATAGATTTAAAGCACGTTGCCTGGTGAGGAGAGCATCCTTTGTGGTGGTCTGAAAGACATCTGCTATTTTCTCCCTTGTCTCAGGATTCCTGGGGCTTGCTTTAGTGGCCTCTTTGACGTCTGTTTCTGATAAGTGAGTTTTAGCCTCTATCAGTTCTTGGGAATTTTGTTGGCAGAGTTCGGGTGAGATTATTTTGCTTTCCGCTGAGTTTCCTTTCTCTGTTTTTTTGGACTTTTCTGATGAATGTGACTCTGGAGCATTCAGTAATACCTCTGGTCCCTTAGGAACTGCTGGTCTACTCCCTGGTTTTATCTCTGTCTGTATAATGATTCCTTGTCGCTGGAAAGGAAAACAAATTGACATTAACCAGTACATATAAGTTGCTGGAAGATGCAGCTGTGAACCTAGTTTGTGTATTAGCTTAAGTCCTGGGGGGAGGCACTTATTTCTTCACCTAGACATTGCCTGTCACCTTAGGCCAGAAATGAAGACAGCTGCAGAAAGATTCTTAGTGAAACTTTTAAACAAATTATAATATGGGGCATACCAGAAAATGATCAGGAAGAGAAGGACAGAAAATCAAAGCAGCGTTTCATTATCTCCTGTTCTCAACCTTTCTATCATTTGTGCTATATACGACTATTCATATCAACTGCTTTTCTTGCCCTGTAGGTTGTTGTGGATACAACAGGAACTACAGTTCATAGACAAAACAATTTATGATTGCATCCTAAGTATCAACTAGTTCCAACTTTTTTGTTTGACTTTTACAGTAGACTTTATATGTGTCTTCCCCACCACAAACACACACACACACATATTAAAAAGTTTATCAAATTGCTTCAATAATGAATGACTTTAATACTTTAAACTGAATTTCAAAGACTGTGATCCAAACTATGATATATTCCTTGGTTTTGACTATGACATTTGGTTGAGATTTTATCTGCCTAAAAATCATGCAAGTTGGTGATGGGAAACCCACGGGGATTACAATTAAGATAAAAGAAAATGTACAAAATGACGTAAAAATAAACTATTATATTAAAAAAAAACTCATAAAAAAATCATGCTAGTTTGGGGCCTTCCTTGGTGGCGCAATGGATAAAGATGCAGCACTTGCAAGCTAGCCAAAGCTGCAGCTGCTTCAGTGCGTTCGATCCCTGGCTCTGGAGGTGACCCACGTAGCGTGGCAGACCTCTCTTGACCACTCGCTGCTCCCCTCAGCAGTGTACTTTGCTGATCTGTCTGTTCTGCTCCCCACTCTCTCTAGCGATCCTCTCACCAGCCCTGTACCTCTGGCTTGTACCCCAGTTCTGTATTCATAAACAAATAAATCTTAAAAAAAAAAAAACATACTAGTTTGTTTAAATAGATTTTAAAAAGATTATTACTTACATAAAACCCTTAAAGTTCTACAACAAATCTACTCCACCCCCAAATATTAAATAATCAGTCCTATCCTATCTTACCTTTCCCTTTATGGACTCATTGGGTGTTTTCCTGGCATCGTAGTGATGTATAAAAGAAATGCGTTCTACAAAATTCTTTTGACGTTCTGCCGATGCATCAGGAGAAGCAAGTGGAACTGAGAAAAAAAGGCTTTGTATCAGGTCAAAATTTATTTGTATATGGAAATATATCAGTATTTAAAATATTCAGGTTTTATAAAAATTGTTAATGTAACTAAGTTCTTTTAAGTATGCAGGGTTATTTATGCATTCCTAGATAATAAATATATTTTTCATTGTTTCTCCATGAAAAGAGCTAAACCCAAACAACTTGATTAACCCCATATATGGAATTATTAGTAGTTTAAAAATCTAATATTAGTGCAATAAAAGCTTTAAAAATCTGTTAGCTATGCTTACTTAGCATAGCTATTGGTTTTATCAAATACCAAAGTCTAGGGAAAGTATAAGAACAATTTACTTGTCACCTTATTTTTTACCACTGGAAAGGAGAAATTTAGTAAGGTAAATTCACTCAAAGAGAAAATAAGAAATTTCTCTGTTTCATTAAAAAAAATGTACACAGGTTATGCCTACCTACCATGTCTATGAGATGATGCACAAGAAACTGATCAATGTTTGCTGCAGGGGAAAAGTGATTGGAGGATAGAGATGGGTTCAGTCTCACTGCATACTCCTTTGTACCACTTGTATTGTATACCATATACATGTAGTAACTATTAAAAAGTAAAATAATGTTTAATTTTTCAAAAGCCATACCTTTAAAATAATGGGGAATATTTAAAAAAGAAAATAATGTTAGTAAGTACACATTTATTCATGAATTCAATATTCAAACATTGAGGTAACTAATTTTACTAGTTGGAATGATGAATATTTAAATATTTTTATATTAAGTAACATGAAATGGCAATTATTTCCCAGCTTTCAGGAAAGAAATTTTAAGTTCTAACAGTTTCTTGGTTACTATGAGATTACTTATTAAAGATTCCATTTTTACTTAATCATTATGTTTTATGATTTGCTAGAACACAAAAACAGCAGTTACTATATACTTAATAAAAGCTTATGGCAACAGCTATGACACTGAAGAAATTCTATCTAAAACTATCTTGGATATTCTACCAATTGGGAAAAGACTAATCATGGAGGTAACTACTATGGTCCAACTCAAGACTTTTTTTTTTTCAGAAACAGTGTCTTACAGTCTTGAGTAAAAGGAAGCAGCTCTAAATTTAGTTATAAATCATGTGGGGTTAATGGAGTATCCAAAGCATGAGCATATTTTTAAATTCTAGCACTATGAAATTTTTTAGACTTAACTTCATTGATTCAGTGATTACTTCATTGAAGTTAATTACTTCATAAAGATACAATTTCTTCCTCTCTATAATTTGCTTTCAGAATTGTGAGGATGAAAGACAATGTTTATAAAGCTCCTAGGATGCTGGAGTCAAATTAGAGAACCTCTTCAGGGTAAGCTCATTGTTGACAAAGGAGGTAAGACAGAAGACAGAATGTGGAAGACAGAAGACAGAAATGTGAGACTGGAAACTATCAAAAATACTACAAGAAACCCAAAGATTTCGGTGAACTGGCATGTAGGCTGGAAGGTAGGATGGTCAAATGCATCCAAGAGGGTAGATTAAGGGCCCTTCTGGTGATGCAAGTGGGTAAGTTTCAGTAATATGAAGCTATCTGCAGCCACTGAGCATGAGTTTGATCCCCAGCCAGGGAGCTAATCCACATGCACGGTAGACCTCTCCTGTCTTGCCCACTGTTCCCCTCAGCAGAGTATTTTAGTGAATCTGCCTGTTCTGTTCCCCAGTTTGTCTCTGGTGAATCTTCTCACCCCCCGCACTTCTGGCATGTACCCCAGTTCTTGTATGCATAAATAAATATTTTTTTAAAAAAAAAGGAGGGTAGGCTGAGAACAAATTTTGCTCTTGATATTCCCCAACAGTACTTTAGAAAGGCCACTGCCTGCCTCAGGGCCACAGAAACTGGCAGCAAGTGCCTAGCCATCTACTGTCAATGTAGTAACTCCAGAACAGCACAGGAAAATCCCTCTAGAATTAGGAGCTAATGAAAATGGGTACAAGTTTTCCCCTTGGGCATTTCCTGCTCCACCATTTGCTCAGCAACAGTCAGTGCTGATGGATTAAAAATATCAAGAGATTGCCTTCTCTCCATGATCTCTTTTTAAGAGTCTGAAGGAGGGTGGAGTTCTGACTAGAGAACAGGCCTCTGGTGGAGATGTTCATGGGACCTGATGCTCTCCAGCCTGTTCTTTCTTTAAATTCACTGGGAGGCATGCAAACCAAAATCTGGTCTTTATTTAGTCTTTGTCCCTCAGGGATGCTGATTTCTCTGGGGGAAACATGACTTACGATAAACTAGACACTGTCAGAGAAAGACAACAAAATTTAAAAATAGTTTTAAAACCATGTGAGGCAAATTAGAAACAGTATACAAAAATTTTAAGCATATGAGTATCTCAAAGATACACAAAGTATTATTAAAATAGAAACAAGAATAAGAGGTCATAAAAAGACTTTAAAACTTAAAAATGAAACAATAGTTGAAATTAAAGACAAGATAAATGAAAAAATTCAAAAACTAAAAAATTAAACCAAGAAGCATTCATAGTCAGCAGAAAGGATAAAAAAATTAAAATAAAAAAGAATAGTTAAGAGACATGGAAGGTAGAAATACTAACACTAGAATTTAGGAGACCTAGAAGAGGAAATGGAAGGAAGGAATATTTGAAGATAAGGTGATAAATATCCAAGAATTAAGGAACATACAGACTTCAGATTGAGGGACTCGGATACCAACAGGGTCAGAGTAGATGAACAAACCAGACTCAGGGATGCAAAATTTATGGAGGCACTTGCATGACCACGGGAGTGACTGCATCAGAATTTGCACCACAGACCTCTCACTTGCCTTACTTCTTTCCCTCTTACAAGGCAAATGAGGTGAAAATCACATTTAAAACACTTTCTAAATACCTTTAAAGTCATCTGAGACAAGGAAAATGTTCAATTGTTTTTGAGGAAGAAAGGTAAATTACTTGCAAAGAAGTAAAAAGATTTAAATCAGATTTCACAATAACAGCATTGGACACTATAACTGATTAATAATTTGAAATATAAAAGGATAAGGAACTTTATGTTTAGAGTAATTATCTTTCACCCACTAGCCTTGACCCTTTCTCCTCCCCTCCCCCTTAACCTCAGAAATCTCATTTTTGTTATCAATGTTTGCAGTCTTTAAAATTATTTGTTTTGTCACTTCATCCACTATGGAATAAAAAACAAACAACAATAAAAACAGAATAAAACAAAAACCAAAAACAAACATTAGGAAGTAAGGAAGGCCCCAAAATGTTTCTCCATAAAATAGACCTAACAATTCCAGAGGAAGAACTCCAAAACAGAAACAAGTAAAGAAGAGTGCAGACATTTTTTTATTTCCCTAAAAAGACAAAGACTAAAAATTAGAAAAATGAGTATTATGCTAATAACAACTTGTAACTAAAATTCTCTTTACTATGTTAATGGAGATGCTGGTGACTACTATTAAAAAAAAAGGAAAAGGGGGCCCTCCTTGGTGGTGCAAATGGTTAAAGTGCAGCACCATGAAGCTACTGCAGTCACCACAGCACAAGTTTGATCCCTAGCCAGGGAGATGACCTACATAATTGTAGCAGACCTATCCTGATCTGCCCAATGTTTCCCTTAGCAGTGTACTTCATCACTCTGCCTGTTCTGCTCCCCCCTCTGTCTGTGGTGAATCCTCTCAACGCCTCTGCACCTCTGGCCTATACCCTAGTTCTATATGCAAACAAGTTGAACAATTTACAAGAGATGGACAAACTCCTAGAGCAAAACAATTATCCAAAGTGAGATAAAGAAGAAATATAACAACTAAACAGACCAATTACAAGCAGTGAAATTGAAACAGTAGTCAAAACACTTTCCAAAACAAAAGCCTAGGACCAGACAACTTCACAAAAAAATTCCATCAAATGTTCAAAAAGTAATTTGTGCCTATCCTACATAAACTCTTTCAAAACATTGAAAAAGAAGGAATACTATCAAATATGTCCTGTGAAACCAAGATTTTACTAATATTAAAACCAAACAATGACAAGAGAAAAAGAAAACTACAAGCCAATTTCCCTAAAATCCTCAAAAAAAATCCTCACCAACAGAATCCAGCAAAGGATAATACACCATGATCATTTGGGATTTATCCTTGGAGCACAGGATGGCTCAACATTTGAAAATCAATTAACGTAGTCCAACACACAAAAAATAAACAAATAAATAAAAACACTGTGAATATTTCAACAGGTGCTAAGAAGGCATTTCACAGTGTTCAACATCCATTTATGATGAAGGCCCTGAAATTCTCCGAATAGAATGAACATACCTTAACATGATAAAAGCCATATATGACAAACCCACAGCCAATATTATTCTTTTTTTTTAATTTTTTTATTACAAAGTTTATTTTTACATCATTTTGCACATTTTTTTTTTCCATCTCGATTGTAATCCCCGCGGGTTTCCCATCAT